GAAATACATTATAGTATTAATAGCGCATTTTAAATCAAAATATCTATCATATTCATAAGTTTGAAGGATTTGATTGAGTTCTAATATCTGTAAATATTTTTCCAAAAATTCAATGCTGCCAAATAATGTAGTACCTGCAATTGGTAATTCTATTTTATTCTCATTAGTTTCAAATAATCTGGCAAAGCCAAAATCAATTAATTTTACATGATTATTTCTTTTATCATACATCAAATTATCTGGACGTACATCACGATGAAGGATATTCAATTTATATAAATATTGAATAATATCAATAATTTGTTGTGCTTTCATTATTGTTATTGGTTGTAAAGATGTCAAAAAATTTTCAAATATTATAAATTTACCTAAAAATAGAAATAAAATGATTAAATTTTTAATTAATTTTATATTTTATAAAATATAAAAATTAGAAATATTTTTTAATAAATAAATAATAAAAAAAATAGTCAAAAGAAATTTTCATAATCTCATTATAAAATTTTATAATTTTTAATTAATCTATAGATATGAATTATTTTATTTTTTATTTATTTATTTTTTTTTTTGAATTAAAATAAATAAAGAAATTTTTTCTATATTCAATAATTTCTTCTTCTTCTTCTTCTTCTTCTTTTTATTATTATTATTATAGAATAATATTATTAAAAATAAAAATTTTATTTATATAATATATAAGTTAAATTAAAATGATTAATAAATTATTATTATATTTCTTATTTAAAAAATCTTATATAAACAAATATTAATTTTCTAAATTTATTTTCAAGATTTTTCTAGGAATTATTAAAAAATTTCTTTATATAAACTAATAAATTAAGTAAAATATTTTCATCTCTTTAATCAAAAAGAAAAGAAAATTATTCATTTCAACAACAATAAAAATATTAAAAAATTTTGTTTCATTTAATTAATCCTTTAATAACTTATGTATATGTATATGAATATAGAAATAATTATTTTTTTGTTTTTTAATTTTTATATTTGTTCACATCTAAATATATTTAAATATATTTATTTTTGTTTTCTTTTTCTTTCCTTTATTATTATTATTACTATTATTATATATGAAAATATAAAAATAAAAATCCTATTTAAGAACAAATATCATTGTAAACTAATTTAACAAATCGATATTTTTCTTTGGATTTTAATTAATTTCCTATGAAATAAATAAAAAGAAAAATTAGTATTTTAATTATTAATTTATTTTAATATGTATTTGATTTTCTTTTATTCTAACTTTTATTTAAATAAATTCTATAAAAATTTCTCTTTAACTATAATTTTTCTAACCCTTTTTTTTGTTTCTAAATGAAAGAAAATTGTATTTATATTCTAGTTTTTCTAGATCGATTTTCAATTGATCCAAACAAGAATCCCAAAAATAATCAATTTTTTCAAATTAAAAAAAAATATATTACTTTCAGGTGATGATGCTATAATATTTGAAAAAAATTTATTAAAATTATTTGAATCAATTGTTTTTAATTGTTTATAAATTTCAATTTCATTTTTAAAATGTTTTTCATTATCATGAGTTCTAGAAATTTTAATTACATGAAATATATAATGATTATCACTTTCATGATAGTCTTTATTAACTAATAAATAAGCCATTGATGTAGCACCACTTCCTAATCTTTGTTTTATACGATATTCATCTTGATATAAATAATCATTAGGCTTTATATTTAATCTTTTATATTCATAAAAACTGAAATCCATCATTAAAAATTTAATAAATGTTTCAATTGTATTTTTATTAAGATCACTTTGTTTTGATTGTTGATTTAATTTTTTCTTTTTTTTAGCAGGCGGTGTTGATGTAGATGGTTTATTAAATATTTGTAATGTTTCACTTCGGTAAAACGTCATGACAGGCGAATTTTTTGTATTGTCTTTTAGAGCATAATAAAATCTTATTTCACGAAGATTTGTTATAAAACCATAAACTTTAGTACGATTTTGTACCTGTAATACACTATCCAAATAATAGCACAATTGTCCAACATATTTATCTTCATTAATACATTCTTCTGGTCTTTTTAATTCACCAAGACAAACAACAAAGTCTTGCAAACAATTGTCTCCATCTTTAATCCTAATATTAATATTTTTATATATAAATGTACAATCAGGAGCTTTGCCATTTGGAACGTCAGGATTTTTCATATCTAATTTGTTATAAGTATTTGAATTTAAATAATTAAAACGACTAGTATTTAAATATTTTAATGATGTAAAATCATCAAATGTAACAAATAATTTTTTTAATAAATAATCTATTGCATTTTGAATAACTGACTCTGTTGCATCATCTTCTACTTTTGAACGATCAAAATAATTTTCAAAAATTTTGACCATATCATCATTAACATTATTATTATTCTTTAATAAATGTTGAATATTAAATTCTCGTAGATTAATTGCTACAAATGTCGAGTAATAATTTCGGCCATCTAGCATTGAAGCTAAATGTTCACTTGACATTGTGACATGATCTCCACATATTCTTAGTTGTTTTCCTGCTTCAATCTGTGCCTCAATCCTTCTCTTTTCGATTTCACGATCCAGTTGTTTTACTTTCGCTTCTTCTTGTTTCGTTTTTTCTTGTTCTTGTAGTACTGGTGCTGCTGCTTGTAGGATTTGAAGTCGTAACTCTGGAGGTGTATCAACTAGAATTTTCAACAGCTGATCCATTAAGCTTTTAATCGTTATCTATAACAAAAAAAGATTTTCTATAATAAATATATAGAATTGAATATGGTGACTTAGAACAACTCTGCTCGTATTGTTTTTAGAAACAAAGGAATCATTGTGATAAACATAGACATATATGTCATCTGATGTCCTCCATTTACATATATATTTAATATAGTAGATGACGCTAGCATAAATCAAATTAATCGCAATATACTATTTAGGATAGTTTTTAATAGAGATATAAAACAAAAAGTATAGTTAGGTATTTCATTTTCGTTTCACCTCTCAACAAAAACAAAGACAAACTTAGTATTATTCGATCTTTTATTGAAAAATATATTCCTATTGAAAGCAAGAAATATAGAAAAATTAATTATATTTAATAACAAAAAAGTAAATACATGTATGTCGTATTGCAGAAAAAGAAATATCTTAGATTAATTGTCATAAAATTCAAATAGAAAGTTGCTTTGATTCTACTAAGATGTAGTATTGGAAAAGGAAATAAATTATGAACGAATGCGATTCGGATGTCATAATAATCACCTATTACATACGATAGAAGTTAGATCACTCGCGTCACATATGAAGATAGTTCTTCATATGTACTACAACTTTTGTTAAGACACCAACTCATGATTTTGAACTTTGTGTGCGCCAACATATATTTTTCTTATTTTCATCAAATTCCTATGTATTTTACATTAGGTGATAAAATTGGGTAAGGAAAATAGCTGTAGTGTTCGAATTAAATCAGGTATAGAACGAGCAAAAAATTTTGAATAGATGTTTTTCCAAATGTCACTATTCATTAAAAATTAACTTTT